GAGCTTTTGTAGTCCATCATATTTCTGTACTTACATTATTTCAGTTAAGATTAAAGATTTTATAATAATTTTTCATTATTAAAAAAGGAGCTCTCAAAAGTAAAGCTGATTTCAGTGTCTGCCCCTGCAATTAATAATTGGACCAATTTGTCAATTCAGTATACAACCTCTATGAAATGTAGTCTAGAAACTTAGTTGTTATCTGCTTTTAACCTGGCTGTTGCTCTGATAATCGATTTAACAAAAAGGTTACTAGTGAGTGAGTATCATGAGAGGTAGAAAGCAGAGCCAGAGCAGTGTCACTTTCTGGAAAGAAGCAATATGTAGTTTGTTGTTTGCTCTACATTGTTTTACGTGACTTTTTAATCTCCACGTATGTGCTTTCCTTCTCCTTGTGACAGTTTTACTGCCCCACAGTAAAAGCTTAAAATGTCATTGTTTTCAAAATGGGATTTTATGAAAATATCAAAACAATATTTTGATTTAAATGAAAAATAAGTAGAAAAACAAAATTCTGATTAGTGGTGTTGGAAACTAACAGGTAATAGCCTAGTGCTGTGATCTCAGAACAGAAATAACCTTGAGGCTCTGCAAGAGAAGTGGACCAAAGCAGAATAATTTGGCAGTAAACAGAAGCTGTGATTTTTATAATAAGCGGTGATATTCAGAGGAATATGGTCCATCTTCTCATGTCAGTAGCCAGACTTATTTGCTCTGGCAGAGGTAGGGAACTAACAAAATTTATCTTGACGCTATCCCTGTTAAGCATGTTGTTGTCTCTTAATTACATATTGAATAGCATCTGGTGTTTGAAGAATAATGGAATCGAAACACAGCAGGGAGAAGAGTGGCAATATTGATGCAAGCTGATACTTTCTTCAGCTTGTGGTGGTCTGGAGGCTCTCCCCTGGTCACTGAGCCATCCTGGTTCTTCCTCAGCCTGGCCTGAAACGCCCAAAACATCAATTTTGTAACAATAGCAGCAGGCCAAATTTAGCTCTCAATTCTGATTTTGTAATACCAGGTTTTCATAACTCCTAGAACATGTGGAACTAAACTGTTTCCATCTCTTTCTTTTTTTCCTTCAGTCACCAAAGGAAAAAAATACTGAAAACAGTTTCCTGTGGGAGATTTAACAAAAGCATTGCAGTGCTCTGTTTGCACGATTAAATAAAAGTGACTAGAAACTGTCTGGTTTGTTTTGTTTGAGATTGAGTGATCTATTATTTCAGTGGAACTAAGAAGTCACAGTGGTTTTTGAAAATCCCTCATAGTTCACAGCTTTTTTGTCGGTACTGAGTTAGCTTTAAAGAACTCTGCCTCGGTAACATCAGGATAATAGCATTTCTCTGCCACAAGCCGATGCTGTAAGAGTAAATGTATTACTTTTACGAAATACTCAAATATGGCAATACTGCAGGCAGGTTTAATAGCTTATTTGAAGTTATATGTAAGTGAAATAGTCCTTTATAAAATATTAGTTTCCAAAATCAGAAGGGTAGGAATCTTCTTAGTCTAAATCTCTAGCTGGGCAGGGGAAGGAAATCAACTATGAAATAGACAACTATATTTTACCATTGCCTTGAACAGCTCTTCAAGCACAGATTGTCTGAAATAGTTGCCATAATATGTTTTTTCTTTTCAGGCCATGGAGCTTAGGGAATCAGTTTTTTAATATCTACATCATCTCTTTCCTCCTGGGACTGAAGCTGGTTACCATAGCAAAATGGCAAGGAAGCTGATAAGCAAGTAGTACCATTTGGCAGACAGGATATAAATTTACTTTATTAAGGCAGAGAACTGTGAAAAAAAATTAATGGTATTAGAAAGGGTTTTTTTTTGTTTGGTTGGGTTTTTTTGCTTTAATATATTTTAAAACATCTGTGAAGAAAATGATTATGAATAGATATTGGACAAAATGCTCTTGCTCACATAACAAGTGTTGCTGCAAATAGTAGGATCTCCAGTTTTAAATCTTTGCAGATCTTTGATACTTGCAACATTACGCTGTAATTTCTCCCCTTATGTTTCAGGGTGTCGCAAAGATGCCATACTGTGAATTAAATGAGCTTCTGCTTAGCAGAATAAATACAGATGTCTGTCCCCTGCTACTTAAAAATTACGTTGCAATATACTTTTTATTCCTACTTAATGAAGCATGGTCGTTGAGTCTGTCTTGTAAATCAGTCTGTGAGGTCTCTTGGGTTTGTGTAGAATGACGTCAGTGAGTGCTGAAAAGTTAAATTGTTTTGTGTTCTACAAACCTTATCAATAATGTCAAGTCTGATGATGTTTGTATTCCCCTTTGACAATGTTGGTATCGATGCATATGAATCGCGTGCTTTGAACTATCCAGCTGGGCTATTTAAGGCGTCATCACAACAATGGTATCTTCATGGGTGGGCCCCACTGGGGGCACTTTTTGTTGGCACCCAGCTATACCCAAAAAGAGCTTATTTTCAGGACTGAGGTCTTCCTCTTTACTGGTCGGTTAACTCCTGATATGTTGCCTGCCATCTAAATCACATGTTGTCTCCTGTTCTTGGTGCAAGAGTTGAGTCACTGTTTTGGGGAGTTTGTTTTGGGTTTGCGCTATTGGCTGTAAATGAAATGAAGTCTCAGATTCTTGATATTAAAAAATAAAACTGCATATTTCCTTAAAATCTTCTGTGCTCTCGGTTTTATCCATTCCAGATATATGATGCGTGCTTATGCTGTTTTATATGCCCTGAGAATTTTTCCACTTACCATGCAACTGAATAGCTCCAATAGAGAGGATTTGGGAGTCTTGCTGTAATCTGGCCATGCAAACGATGCTATTTAGTGTTAACTCCTTTAAGCCCCTAATAACTGTATTTGTAGAAGTGGTGTTCACAGGCTGTGAGTCGCAATCAGGGCAGCCGTGGAGCGGGAATCAGAGTAACTCCTAGGAAAACTGTATTTCTGCTCTCTTTTTAAGCTGTTTTTCATTATAATAAGCACTAGTGATTTTTTTATACTATGGGGGGATTTTTCATCATAAAAATTATCATTATCAGCAAAAAAATACTATTACATGCCCATTGGATGCAGCACTGGGTTAGCACAACTGGGCAGGATCTGGGTGGAAGTTGGCTTGTATCTGATCCGCTTGGGGGAGGGGTGGAGGACCTTGGATCTGTCCAGCCTTAGAAAGAGTTGAATGAGAATATAGTTGTGAAGGGAATGTGTGATTTTAGGATCAGGGCTCCTTTCATGTTCATGTGTATGACCTGCACCTTTGATAGCCCTGTCTCTGTCTGAAGTGTGGACTCTTTGGATGGAGGGAGCAATCTGTAAGGGAAGAGAATAGTTTCCTCCTTGGAAACCGGTTATCTGCAAATACATATAGCCAGCATCGATGATAATCACCAGTGGGTATCTATAACCTGCAGGTTATTGTGCTGTAGTATGATACATAAGTGTGGGAACTCACTGTGGGGACGTAGCCCAAAATGCATCACTTTGATGCAGAAGCTTGGGAAATTGGAGTGTTGCCATCTACTGGCAGTCATCCACGGAGAGAAGTCCCTCAGCTGGTTGTGGCTTAAGGTATTCTTTATTTTGAGCTGAAAGACGAGGTTTTTCTTGCCTGTTGCAAGTCAAGAGTTGTTAATAAAATAATTGTTGCTGTCCTTAGTGTATGGATGTAGTCAAAGAATTAGAAGAGTTGTTAATAAAATAATTGTTGCTTAGTGTATGGATGTAGTCAAAGAATTAGAATACTATCAGTGTGATTTCTCTGAGCAGTTGTTACTCTTCAGGATGTGGGTCGATGTTTGACATGGAGGCAGCTCCTCTCCTGCACAGTGACCAAGTTCGTTTGAGGAGTCCTGAGCACCTCCTGTGACCTTAGGGCTTGAGTGATGCCCTGCACCCCTCCTGCCCTTCAGATCCTGGCCCCATATTTTAGGGAGTAGTCTGGACTGGAAATTACTTTTTTTTAAATTCTCCAGTAAAAAGGGTGAAGGGTATATTTGGACTTATTAAGGAATAGACCAAAGATCCATATTTTTAAGAATCTTGCAGGTCTGACAGTCCTTCCCCCTAGAAGAGATGAAAGGTATTTCAAATAAGTCTGTCCTCAGAGGGAGATCCAGTGCAGCTTGTGCAACTCAAGAAGTTGTATTGTGACTGACCTCTGTCGAGCGAACTGTTTATGTGATGCCATCAGAAGTGGTTTTGAACATTTTGCATGAACCACATGCCAACGATGGGCATGGATTTTTTTTTTTCCTTTTTATTACAAAATAGTTGGGAAGTAAAAGGTTGCAAGACTAGTTTTCAGCAAAAGTTATGTGACTGCTTCCTTACAAAACACAACCCAAGTGGAAGCAGAAGCGTGATGTAGTTTTTCCTTCATGCTTGTCCAGTCCACATATGCTTCAGACTTAACAACTCTTTCTGTAATCATGTTCACAAAAAGGTAAAAACATGGTGCTTTTTTATCTAGTAATATAAAATTTTGAGCCAGAACTGTATTAAAAAAATACTTCAGTTGTTCTTAAACCTTGTGAATACCAACATTTTCCCTTCAGTATTTTAAGTACTACTTAAAAATAATGATTTAAAGTAACTTTGGTATGTTTTCAAGCCAGATATGTAGGTACACAAACATGGAAATACTTGTGTTCTTCTGTCAAATCTGTCTGCATGAGTCTTAGCTGACTCTTGGCTGACAGAGCAATCATGGATTTTTAGATAGATTTTTCTCACAGTAGTTCCTAGATACTGGATTACCAGAAGCAAGGTTATAGAATTACCAGTGGAGTTGTATTTGTTACCAGTGGATTAATATACAGTGTTAAGAACATCTATTTGAGGCCATATATGGAAATTTCATGTTTTAGAGACCAGAGAGGTAAAATACGCTGGAATTAAAACTTGAGGTTTAAGTATGGCTTGGATTAAGGAGTCGTGGAAGGGGCTGGGTTCTGGATGGTGCTTTGTTACTGGTGGCAGGTTTCCAACGTGTAACCAAGTATTTTTCTCTTTTTTTTTTTTCTTTTGTTGCAGCTGGTTTCCAATGTTCTCATCTTCTCCTGTACAAACATTGTAGGCGTGTGTACCCACTACCCAGCAGAGGTGTCCCAAAGACAGGCTTTCCAGGAGACCAGGGAATGCATACAAGCCAGGCTGCATTCTCAAAGGGAAAATCAGCAGCAGGTAAGAGCAACAGTGGGAAATAAAAAATGAAATTGCTGAAGCAGAATTAGTATGCAAATTTTTTCCTGTAGAAATAGGATTTGAAGGCTTCTTGATTCTTGGCTAATGCAAGCAGGAATAGGCTAATGGTAGAGGGCAGGATTTTTAAAGGTCTGAAAGAGAGCTCAGGGGAGTATTTCTTCCCCAATACCCTGATGGACTCCTCCACAGACATCAACAAATCCTGTGGTCTATGCTCTGCGGATTAAAATTACGCAGTACATAGAGAGTCTGCATAGTTTTTTTGCACCCATCATTGAAGCCACATGTTGAATGCAGATGCAACACACAGGCTTCAGATTGACCCACTTTGTAAGGTCAAAGCATGGCATTTGTCAGCAAAGCCACTGCCAACAGGTAGCTGTAAGGCAGGTTTCGGAAGGGAAAGGTAATAATTGGTCCACAGAAGATGCTGTCCCTTGATGCCTCCAAAGAGTGTCCTCTTCCTGCCTTTCCCAAAGGTTCCTACCTGCTTGCACACCTCTGTATACCTTATAGGCCTCAAGTGAACTGTATTTGTTCAAACAATAAGATTCATCATCAACTTCAATGTTTTTTTGCTGTAAAAACATCTGTTGCTGCCAGCATACAGCCTAGTCTTCAAGGGTACTAAACATATCTACTCCCCTAATTCATTTGTGGGTTCTTTTGCAACGAATCTTGTGTCTTCAGAATTAGATACAAAAGACCTTTTGGGACAGCTTGACTGTTCCCTTGCTAACACACATCTCTGCGCTGCATCTCGTAGTGGTCTGTCCAGTCCAATTTGAAATGAACCATGAAACGGGACTTCCACTCTTCTCTTGGGAGATATCTCAGGGCTTGGTTGTGGGTTTGGGGAAGAGGTCAGCGGAATGAATCAGCTGGAGTGTCTTTGCATCTCTGTGACAACACAGTTTAATTTTCCCTTATCTCTCAACCCATCTATGGATTTGCCTTTTGGCAGTGTTTGATTAGGTACTTCTGGCTGACATACCTGCTGTTTGACCCTTACTGTGAAATAACATGTACACAGAATCACAGAATCCTTTATTTTCATAGTATATGTATGAAAACGAGATTCACATCAAGGCTCCTTTTTCCTTTGTAACTAGTGTAGTCTCAGATGGGTGAAACGAGCAGCTGCTCCTCCTTTCACACCTTGAAATGGAGGAAAGGATTGAGCCAAGAGAGTACCCCATTTTACTTATTGATTACAGCTCTGTCCTCCCTGCTGAGAGAATGTCTTAGCAGCATGGCTCAAATGCTTGTGCTGTTCTGGATTTAGAATTTTCTGTGTTAGAAGTAGTTAATGAAAAAAGCCCTGACAAATGCCCTAGCCTTATGCCTTTTTCTTCTCCTCCTCCCCAGAAAGTACTATACCATACAGAAGAAAGCCAGGACATGAGAATAACATGGGTCAAAGCCAGTCACTTGGAAGTACTCTCCAGTACTTGCAGCAGTAACTGTGGGTCCTGGCAGCTGGGAACTCCTAATAAGATTATTTCCTACTACAGCCTGCACTGACATTGATCTCCAAGTTCAGTTCAGAGGCATCCCTATGCATAATGCATTGAGATAATCTTGAGGTGACAAATAAGGGCAGTTTAGCCCTCATTTGGGAGAGCCAGTATCCAAACAGGGGTGGAGGGAAAGACAACTGCACAGCCCAACACTGTTATTGTCACTTGCTGGTTTCTGGAGATCTGATGGTGCTCTTAAGTGCTGTTCTCTATTAAAGACAGGCAGATTATCCCTGGCAAAGGAATGTGTATTTTCCTTTATTAAGCACCTACCAGCACCCAGAATTAGGAAGAAAGTAAATAAAAATCCAGAACGTCCAATGCAGAAGAGAGACTTCTTGTGATTTCGTTATTTGAGATAACCTAGGGCAGAGCCATAACAGGAATGACTATTGCTTGCCCAGAATAAAAGACTCTTGGAAGAAAAAAATAGGTGTTCTTGTAGTGAGCAAATATTTAGGATTTGAGTAAGAGTTGGGTTATCGGGACTGCACAGTTTTACTTCTAGCATTGCTGGTCTTCTGTCTCTGAAAAGTTGTTCTCTCCTTCCTTTCTTCTTCTCTGCATGACTTAACTTGCGGTGAAAAATAAGTGTTATTAAACCTGAGGACAAATGGATAGTCATAAGACATTAAGTATTTGTAGTGCTTTGAGGTAATCTTGGGAGAGTATAAATAGTTAAAATTCCTATGTAGTACAGAGTCATCGTAAGGATGTGTGTGCCCACATATACATGTATCTATGTGTACATCTGTAAACAGAGTAGATCTGTATTGTACTCTTTCATCTGTGTCTATTCTAGAGACTAGTGCTCCTCGGGATGCATTTGTTTAATGTATAATTCAGTGGAACTATACTTGCATCTTATTTTGAAGTGAGAATTCTATATGAATTTGCTCTTGCTTTTTTTATCAGGTCAGAATGCTGCCTTGTTATACTTGTAAAACAGCAGTCCCAGTCACCTCGCTGATGCATAATAAGTGATTTTACAGTGAGGGCTGCAGTACTTTCTAGTCATTATACCAAAATGAAAATTGTGCTCTGATGGAGACTGTGCTCCATTTGAAATAAAACATAGGGATTTTGTTGTTTTGAAGGTCTTTTAACATGGCTTGTGCTTTACAAAGGCGCTTGTGCTTTACAAAGGCACTTGTTACAGCCTCCTCCTGTTAGCTTCAGAGGTTATTTTCAGTGATCGTGGTGCTCCCAACAAACTGAATAAAGATAATGCCCAGCTCTGTAACGTGGCTCAACTTCCTAATTAGTTACTGCATGAAGGGATGATGTGCTACATTTTGTTTCACTTGATAAGCCTATCTTAATCCCTGATTGTGATAGTTGAGAGCGGTCTTAGTTCATCTCCTGGAGATCTCAAATGTCTTGAAAATATTGGTGTTTTAATCTGGCAAGTGCCTATGGTGTCAGGAAGAGTAGGGTTCTCTCAAGTAAAAGTTACTCAGAAATGTATGTGAAAATCTCTTGGAGTACTAGTAGGAGAAACTCAGTCCCCTGAACATGTCCCTGTTTTGCAAGCAAGTGAAAAAAAACATCCCTCCACGCTCTTGTGCCTACAGGGAATGTTCCAAACCTGTGGGTGCCCCTGAACCGCCCATTAAGCTCCGAGTTATTTAGAGGAGGTGTAAAATCACACGTAAAATAGCAGCTTTCACACATTTGAGGATGCCTATTATAATATGCAAATGACAACAGCGTATACAACAGTTACTCTGGAAAGCATACAAATGTGTTGTGCTTTTGCACTCAAGGAGTATGCTAATAGCTGACAGAAGCCTGAGGACATGTGCATGATTCATGATCTTTTTTTTAAAAAAAAAGCAAATCATGTGGATATGTAACTTAGCACCTGCGATATGCTAGTGAAGGTGAGAGTACTTTAAAAAGCAAGTATCTTGTCAGGACTGCTGCAGTTTTGAGCAGAGGAGATAGAAATCCCTCCAACGCATCATCTTCTGTGTTATTACTACCTCTTTAAAGACTGAAGGCAAGAGTCAATCTCTTTAAGACACACATTGAAGGGGAAAAAAAGGAAATACTGGGCAGTGCCGCAGACTATAAAAGGTCTTAGTGCGTGCTGAGCACATTTCCAGTAAATTCATCTTCCTCTGGTTCCCCCGAAGTTCCTTTCTCTCCTTAGAGGAAGAAATAAATGGGGAACTTTCAGTTAAAACTAGGAATTAGAAACCAGGA